TCTTTAATAGGATGACCCAAATATGTTGAAGCCTCAGTCCAAAAACTCTTATGTAGACCATTGATTGACAACAAATATCGATCCTCCTCCAGCAAGGTACGGTTCTCCAATTTTACCATCCTATCTAGTTGCCCCAAGATTTCCTTTCTAACGAAGTGTCTCGAAATACCGTGAGCTCGGCTCCAAAACAGAAACAGGTCCTTCTTGTACCTCCCACCAAAACCTGAATGATGTACCTTCACCTTTCTTCTAATCTCACACTTCTTCAATCTGTTGGAGACTACTAGGACTTTATCCAAAGGGGATTTGGTTGCAACCTAAACATGCTTAGAACAGCCACTAACAAAGGAAACCAAACATCTATTTCCTCCCAATGATGCCTCCTTGGAAGGCCCACAAACATCCACGTGAACCTCATCTGAAAGACCCTCCATGCGGTGAATAGAGGTGCCAAACTTTACATTGGTCTTCTTGCTCACATCAACATGTTTACTGGACTTCAAACTGCAGGTCTTCGCACCCTCTTTCAATCTATGCAAGGAATCAATATTGGGATGGCCAAGCCCTAAATGCCGTAGTCTAGCCGAATCAATAGAAGTCGCCACTTCTCCACCTGTTACTATACCTCCAATCTAGTAATACAGGTTATTCCTCCTGACGCCCTTCATCACAATCTGAGAGTCTTCCATAATCTTGAGAACCATGTCCTCAATTCGAACATTCAGACCCTCTCCAACCAAAACTCCAATCGAAATCAAGTTCTTCCTCAAGGAAGGAACATATCTCACATCATATAACTCCCTAACAATAGTAACACCTTGTCCTCATCTTCAATCAAGATATCCACATTTGCCAAACCCGCAAGAATCTTTGTGTAGGTGTTCATGTGATCACTAATTGAGGTTCCCTTCTTCAACTGGAAACGATACAGTCTCCTCATCAAATGCAATCGGTTCTCAACACTCTTTGTCAGATACTTGCTTTTGAGAATCTCTCAAATCTTTTTCCAAGAAGTCTCATTCATCACATCATATTTTAGATCTTGAGTCAAACAAGACCTAATCACACCACACGCCGTCATATTTTAGATCTTGAGTCAAACAAGACCTAATCACACCACACGCCGTTCGATTCATCTTCTTCTAAACCTTCTCTTCAATCTTGAGTCAAACAAGACCTAATCACACCACACGCCGTTCGATTCATCTTCTTCTAAACCTTCTCTTCAATATCATCTGGCTTGTCATCTAACTTCAAGGTATCCTCCAAATTCTACGCGTTCAGCGCATCCAAAATCTCGCATCTTCATAATCCAAAGTTATTTGTGCCATTAAACTTATTCACATCTATCTTCATAGAGTGGATATTCAAACTCTGAATGGTCTTCACGCCAGAAGCACCACCATCGACACCCGAAGCACCTTCTTTCCCCGACATCTTACTCAACGTACCAACGAACGAATAATAGATCCAAAATTGAAAAGATAGAGTCTTTATAAAAAGATCACATCTTTATCACCATACAAAGCCCTAGACGAGCTTTTAAATTGATCTACTCCTCCAACTAGGACAAAACCCTAGATCTGAAACATGGCACTGATACCACTTGTTGTGTGCAGCGAAAATTTCGACAGAGTTTCTAGTGCACAATGAGAAAGATCGTAATAAGAACTCCTATCTCACCAAGAAAATAAGAATTTAAAGTGAATATCTCAATAAAGTGAGATATCTACTCTTCCTCTTATCAGTTCTAGGACTGACTTGTCGAGGAAACCAAATAAACTATTACAATTACCACAAACAGCAAATCACACAAGTTTTATGTAGTTCGGTAAATTACCTACATCCATGGGGAAAGAAGGGGGAGATCTACAATTAGAGGGAGAGAATAAAAATATGGTTTACAATCACACAATCTAAACCCTCACACAATCTCTCAGACCTCTCACAAATATCTCCCTCAAAAAGACAGCCGTCAAAAACCAGCAGAAAAAGCCTCTGCGATTTTCTTCTTGCTACAGCCAAAAAATCAGCTGCGGTTTTCTCTCTGCTGGTTGCACTTTTTCCAAAGCCAATTTCTCCTC